AAAATAGCAAGCTAGGAGCCTGCTATTATCAAACCCGGAAAAGACAATAATTCACATGACTAATTATCTCTCAATAGGGTTTTGCCGACCCTATAGGTTCAACTCCTCGAGTTTTTCTTTTTGTGTATCTTCGATAGAAGGGGCATTGGGTTCAGAAACTTTAGGAGGTAACCTCACCTAGTGGTGCTCTTTATAGTTTTGAAGGGTTGATCTGTAATCAATAATTCATGGAGATCCTTGTACACGATCCCAACAACCACTGATACTAAAAAGTAAAAAAACAAAAAAACAAAGAAAACCAGGCTACGACATGACATATGAAATCCAAATTGCCAATGCGGATATCTGAATCAAACAAATTATGTAAACCAACAAACAAACTTTTATGTATTTGTAGATGTATTTCAAAACTGCAAAAAAGTTGGAGAGGAATAAAAAATTGTGCTTCGTCCTAGCGCATAAAAGATTTAAAAACTGAAGTCAATACAAACCGTTGTTGGCAAAGTTTTTAAAGGAAACTTTCAGGTTCGTTTGAAGTTCTTTTCTCCCAAGATTAAAGTCAGTAGCATTTTCGCGGTAGGTTTTTTGTATAGCCAACACTGACGGGGAAAAAAAATAGAGACGAACTAAGAGTCACACATTTTCGAGGAAATATTTTTCGTGTTGGTCCGAAAGTAAGTCATAATCCTAATATGATAATTATACTTGCTTGAAAACTATGTATTCTTCACATAATCTTCTAAAAGTTGAGGTTTGAACGCTTTTGAACATTCAAATCGCCGAAAAAATTGTCCATTATCACTATGATTGATAAAAACAAAGGTAAGTGGGAGGGATGAACTGGCTTGATCTGGCTCAACAGGTCTCATGCAAAAAAAATTAAGTCATGAAAGCAACCGTTATGTCATTGGTCACTGTGTCGGTCAATAAACAGGTAATGGATTATTCCAAATCCGAACGAATAATCATGGTCTGACTCACGTAGTTTTCGGCTGTTTATCTCCATTGAAGAATTCGCTCCAATCATTTGGTGTTTGCCATAATTAAGGGCGAATACCTCCAAGGCGACTGCCACCCTAAAGATGGAATTTCTTGTTATTTTGATTTCTTCTTTGGTAAGAGCTTTTTGGAGGATTTGGATATTGGTGATGAAGTCTTCAAAAATCCACACAGCCTCCTGTAATCACATAACATATTTCTGTTAAAGTAAGATTCTACAAATTTGGATCCGTGTCAGTGTCCCATGAGTATTGAGCCGCAGAACCCTTGATCGTGGTCGAACATTTAAACAAAACAGTTTGAGGTAACGGCAAAGTATGCTAGCAAGGCCCATATTTCGTCTACTCCACTTAGATTATGAAAAAAAAAATTGAAAAAGAAATGAACTAGACCAAAAATGGATAAAAGAAAAAAAAATCCAGCAAAATGGCCAAATGGTGAATAGAAAAAACTCGTCCAAGAAGTCGGAATTATCTATTTCGGGAATCACTTTTTTTCACTCACGCCAGTTCATGCCTTAGAAATAATATTAATATCGATAGTGACGATGATACTTTTATAATAATTATAATAACGATAATGATGACGATGACGAGAATGGTACGGTCTTGTTTGCTCTTGTTCGAATGGACTCTAAGTTTTTTTTCAAGCTCAGAAACTGCTGCAATGCATTGGTCATTCTTTCTAATCATTGTGCATTTCATATAAACTAAGTGGCTTAATCATAAAAGATAAGCAATTAGTAAATTCATACCCTCAAAGGCCTAATTCTACTGATTTCTTCTCCTTTTAGTTTGGAAACGGAATCCTTTGCCTGAGATAAAGAAAGGCAGTAAAGTTGGCGAACAAAAATGTTGTAAATAAAAAGCTTGAGAGGATTACTTTGCTCACCAGATTCTTAATGACTTCTAACGTCGGCGTCAGAGGTGTCCGTAGAGACGGAGACGATGCTGATCCTGCTGCCGATGTTTCCGATGATGATGACAATAATGATGATGATACTGATGCTGCTACTGATACTGCTTCCGACGATGCTTCTGATGATGATCCTGATGATGATGTTGCTGTTGGCTTTGATGATGATGGTGATAGTGCTGATGAAGATGCCCCTGCTGTTGATATTGCTTCCAATGATGCTGTGTGATGAAGATGATGGTAACGGTAAGATTAATAATGCTAAATGTGACTGCGACATTGATTGCAATAGAGCTGAATGTTAAAGAACATTTAATTGTTAAAATAAAATTGACGCTATGGTAAGGCGCAACGAAGTTTAAAAGAAAATATTTTCCATTTCTTTTTCAGAATCTTAAACACTTTTTCGTAAAACAAAAAGAGTGTATTAAGTATTCAAAGCGTTATTGTACTCACTGTAAGCTTCTGTTCCATGTCCTGTTGAAATTTTAGTTGCGAATACTCGAATTGTTGAAGTCCCAATAGATGTAACGATATTCGACGTGTGTGAATCTGAAGTGATGGAGTGACCGTCACACATCTGTCTACAATCGTTAGCGTTAAAATGCGTATTGCACACCTCTACTTTGTCTGTGCAACTTTGTGATTTACATTTTCTCCCGCAGCAGGTCAGGTTACATACTTCGGCATCGCAGATTTGTTCACAATCCTGGTTGTTACATTCTAGATGCATTTCACATACATTTCCTCCACCTTGGCACTTTTGTATTTTACAGTTTTTCCCGCTGCAGTTCAGATAACATTCTTTAGCCTTGCAGATTTGTTCACAATACTGGTTGTTACACTCTAGATCCATTTCACATACATTTCCTTCACCTAGACAATTCTGTGTTTTACAATTGCTCCCACTACAGTTCAGTTTACATTCTTTAGCCTCGCAGGTTTGGTCACAGTCCTTACTGTTACATTCTAGATTCATTTCACATGCATTTCCGTTACCTTCGCACTTTTGTGTTTTACAATTGCTCCCGCTGCAGTTCAGTTTACACGCGTTAGCCGTGCAATTTTGGTTACAATCGTTACTTTCACATTCCGATTTACAGTAATCCCAATTGCAATCATTTCCACTTAGTACAAAACCTGAAACAACAAAAACAAGAACAGAACGAAAAACATAAGAATATTAAATATAAAAATAATTATGACGATAATTATGAAAAATACAAAGGTACTGCAAGACCTTTCTTGCGCAATTAAACAGCTTTATACCACTGTTGCATAAAACTGCTGAATATAATTTTCATGGACCATTATGGCAGAGTAATTGCAAGCACCATTTCGTTCGAGCCGAGTCTTCAACTACCGCGAAGCTGACAGAGGTTTCGAATATACAAGTTAATACAAAGTGGTTTCTTTACAAACCAACTTTCTCGATAGGTGAAATGTATCTCAGTATTTCATCCTATTTTGTATCACTGACACCATTTATTTATCCATGTTTTTGTCGATTCACTTCGATTTTTTTTTATATCTTGTTACTTTAGCTAAGGTAGGCGGCCCTTGTAAGATTAAAGAGTGAGCCTCCTTTCCATAACTAGGTTTTGCAGCTTAGGAATTGAGAAATACTTAAGGGCATCCCTAGGTGTAAAGAACATTTCCGCATGACGAAGTTGGTTTCTCATATATTGTTTACAGATTAATTATAAATTAAATACCAAGGAAAAACTGACTCTTAAAAATTTTTAAGGAGAAAATAAGACTTCAAAGATTTGAAATGGTATTGTTAGGCTTTCAGGTTCGGTAGGTTATGAGGAGTGAGAGGCGACCTAAATTTCGACTATCTTTTTAATCATTACAGAATTTGCATATCTTTAAATTAGAAAAAAAACCTGGGCTTAAAATATCCCATCGCAACTTGCATGTTTGCGCTGAAGCTTCACTTTTTCATGATAGACACACGAGTTAGAACAGGCTTTAAGCCTGCATACATAGGTAAAATGGCTCCATGAAATACATCCCCTATAATATTTCGTCTTGGCCTCCTGAAAAAAAGCCTGTGTGGCCCATCTGCCACACAGGCTAATCTTAAACTATTCTAAGTTTTAGCGGTCTTTGTTTGCGCTAAATTTTATTTCTAAGAATTCTCAAACGGCAGCCATGAGATGGACTCCTCGGAGTGCGCTTAGGCTGCATTCTAAATTAAATCAATCTTTTAAAAGGAGCTTTGGTACTCACTCAACAAAGCTATTGATAACAGGAGTGTTCCCCACAACTGGCAGCTTCTCATCATCATCATTTGTTTGCGTTGGGTGAGTTTAGTTCCTGTAAGCTAAACCAAATGCAACACTTCTAGATAATTGCCAAGATCGGTCGGAAATATCTTTTGCCAATATAAACCCAAGGCTTGATAACTCTCCTTTTAGCAAAAACCAGCCGTTTACTCGGTGCTTACAAGCACTGCGGGAAATGATTGTCATGCAAATTATTTTCGTCGGGTATTTCGGCCGAAATTTAGTCGCAGTAAGCCTTTTTACTCGAGTAAAAAATATGACAGGTACGAAACTAACTTTTCAAGCAAATGCTTCATTCGAAAGTTAAAGGTTCGAATTAGGTTTTTGTTAAGAGCACTAGCATCACAAGAGTTGCTTCGAAACAATTACGCCTCCACTTGTGATATTTTTTGTTCGCTTTTTCTAACGATCCTCGCTAAGTAGTGCAGAGCGGAAGATCTTACCTGCACGTGCCACGCACTAGAAGGTATTATTGACAAAATATGTGACGTTTTCCTTTTCTTGGAACAATAAATGGAGATAATTGCTCACCAAAGCTAAATTAGTTCTTTAAGTTCAAAAACTCTCAGAGTTAAAAAATTGATTCGCTAGATATGAGTGTTCCCTGTTTTCGTCGCCAATATATCTAAATAATTATTTCAGTAACAATGAAGAATCTGTAATGTTAGAACTTAGGGATTTTAGTCACGCGGAATATGGTAAAAGACCGGTCGTTATTTTTCACCCGCGAGGGAAAAGGAGGATTTTTTAAGGGAAGGCCGACTTTATGCGTTCGAAGACCTAAAAACACAACTGGTATTGTCATACCCAGTCGACCTTATCGCTTAAGAAATGCTCGCAATAAGCCTATTTGACTCGAAAATAACTACATCCTGAAAAATAATAAATAAATAACAAAGAATTCTCTTCATATACAACTGTGTTCATTGCGATCTTTAATTGCAAACCACTTTGTTGGAATAACAATAATAATAATAATTTACTGTTTTTGAACACGGGCATAATAGTTCTAAACAGAATTCAGTTAACCGTTTCCTAAATATTGACGGTTTAATACCTAAAAGCTAATAATAAATGTTTTTGTCATCAAACAGCTGTTTCAGACTTCCCTTAGGGCTTTTCGAAATGTGTTAAAAATGATCTAGAATAAAGGAAAACACATAGACTGAAACAATATCAATGCAAAACATTTTTTTTTGCGGAATAATAATCTTAAACAGCTCTGTCGAAGTTGTCTGTCGTGTTGATATGTTTGATTTAACATTGATTTCTTTATGAATTAGGTATATTTTAAGCAAGCATTCGAAAGACGAAAAATTTTCTACCTTTTTCCTTATTCACTACGTGATCGTACTTAAGTACAGTTTATTATTATTATTATAATTATTATTATTATTATTATTATTATTATTATTATTATTATGTAATTAACATGTATGGTAGGAATACACGGCTACATGCAGCAGGCTTACTGATTTCAAATAGCTCGTTTTCTTTTTGTTTTTCTTAGGCACGGGAATTCAAATAGATCCGAAAAATTCGTGGCGAAATTAAAATCGGAATCGCTGCTGAAGTTTGCTTACCCTGCATTTTCATCGTATAATTAAATGCCGTTTTAACCAGTTAGAGCCCTTGTTATTTCGAAAGGTTGCTATCTTTGTGCAATATACGTTTTTGGTTTTTTTGGTCCATATTTCCAAAGCCTTCTCAAAATGCGAAGACAGCTGAAAAACCCATCAGGCGATTCGCATAAATTTAAAGAATTCCTTCATTCCCACCCCTCTATACCTTAGATATACGCGCGAATCTGAAATGTTACGACCGCGTTTCTATATAGCTAAAAACACCTGTCGACCGTTGGCAAAAAAAATCAAATCCTTTAAAGGCATGCTTGCGAGAGCAAAAATACAATTTGAAGGCGACAATGCGACGCGACCACAATAGCTACATGGGGAGTCCGTGTCTGTCTTTATCTTTATTCTCATGTTGATTTTGTCCAGACCACTCCCATTCTTTATGCGCAACCACTCTAGCGTTGAAGGTTCATGTTACCGTTTTTAACTCGTGAATTGCGCGCATGCGCAAGAGCGAGTTATAGATACGATGTGGGGAATGGCATTCGCTCGCTCGCTCGATTGGTCGATTCCTGTAAACTTTTTTAGATTTTAGGCTTTTGAGTGCATTTGATAGTTTTTGGCGAGCAATAAACAGACGAAATGGCGGCCTTTGTTGCTAAGAATAGTGGTGGGGTGAAAAAGAAGCCAATGACAATCTTAAAAGAGTTTTTTTTTTCGTTTTAGTTTCAACAAGCGGCACCAGCGACTGGCAGGCATGCAAGGATTCACACTAAAATAACAGAACAACCTTCGTTTTTCATAAAATTGTAAATTACAATCCTTGAACTTGAGAACAATCCGAAGATTCATTGAAAATATCACTTACTGCGAAGCGCTCGGAGTTTACAGATGTTCAAAAGCTTTTTCTGTTATGGCGTGAGGTTGAGGACAAAATTGATCATTACGTTTCGTCGCGTATGTTTTTCCTGTGTGAAGCAACAAAAGATGCCGGCGACTGACGAAATTACAAGTTAACACGAAAATCAAATAACACCTAAACAAACAATTTTAGCTACCGATTTTCAGTGAATTTTTAAAGAACAATTTTCTTTTAAGTTTTAAGACAATTTGAAGATTCAACATACATACAACGTACTAAAATGCGAAAGTTACACGCCACAAAACTGATAAATAGGCCTGAAATGAAATTCTATCTTGTTATTGATTATATGTTGCCTAGCACGTGACTTAAATCTACCCAGGCGGAGATCCAAAATGACGGTGGCAGGCTTGGCTTAGTTATATCACTCAAAACTCGTTCTCGTTTGTCTCATTTGATAAAGAGGGAATCGTTAATGTTTTCATTAAGACAGTATTGCCTTGATTTTCTAATATTTACAACGAAAGACAGTAAATTTCACTTTTCACCCACATTTACTTCCAACCTTTTCTTTTGAACCAGAAACAAAAATGATAGACGTTTAAAACACATGACATCGTCCACCTTGTCAAATGTAATTTGTAAATGTAATTTTCATTAAGACAGTCTTGCCTTGATTTTCTAATATTTACAACGAAAGACAGTAAATTTCACTTTTCACCCACATTTACTTCCAACCTTTTCTTTTGAACCAGAAACAAAAATGATAGACGTTTAAAACACATGACATCATCCACCTTGTTAAATGTAATGGCATGATCATTTCAATTGTGACGCCCTCTTATCCCAACGTTACTTTGTTTATTTGCTACATTAGCGAATACTGAACTACTGCTCGTACTCTAGATATGACAATCAACCACAAAATTCCCTAAACCAGATAACATTAAACGTAAGCTAAAAAATCATGTGTCAATTCACGAGTTTGCTCACAGAGCACTTTGATCTCTTTTCATGCTACTTATTTTCACACATTGCTCACGCCACTCGACTTCCGGTATGTTAACGCACAGTTCGACTTCCAGTGTGTCGATTCGTCAGCGACCGTAGACGAATATATATATATACTCTTCTGCAATGAAAATATCGAGTACACCTCAAGAATTTGAAAAGAATACTAGTATGCAAAATGTCCGATAAATGATGACTACTTCAAGTTTAGTTAGACAGCTCCTACATCCGAAACTAAAAGTCCCTTTCGTGTGGGGAAACAGCCTGAATCGATGACTAATTTAGCGAGTAACGTGTGACTCATAATATGAGCGAATTCTGTTTGACTGCACCAACTCAAGTTTAGCATTTTAAAACCTGAAAGGAGAAGTCGTTTACCAAATTGAAAGGGATTAAGTTACAGATTAGCATGAAGTCCATTTGCTTTGAAAAAATTGGAATAAGTCTGATTGTGAACCTATACCTTTTGTAAATAATACAAGCTTCTGAGAGTGTGAAACTTTGTAGAAAAAACAGATAAATATTAGTTATAAGTTTACGCGCTTGAAGGGAACGGAATTTACACTGATCTCGCTGGAAGTCTATTGCACGTAGATAAACTTTCTGTAAAAGTGGTTGTGATTACAAGAAAAGATAAAATGTAAACAAATTTAACATACAAGACTAAAACAAAGGAAGGAAGGTTACGAAGTTACTAAGAGAAATTTTTCGAGGACTCAAATAGAATTATCTGCACTGTAAAATGAAAAGAGCCAAATTGACCCCAAAAGCCAAATTGGCCCCAATTTCTCGAGGGCCAGTTTGGCTCATCAAGGTTCGTTTTGGACTATTTGAGCCAAAACGGGCGGAACAGGTACCATTTCGACCCCTCCAAAATCTGAATTGGCCCCTATGAATTCTACTTTGGAACTTTTTCTCAATTTGGCCCTTCCAAGAGCCAAGTAGGATTGACCAATTTGGCCCCAACGAGGTGCAATTTTTGAAAAAAAAAGAAAATATAAAAATAATTTTCTTTTTTCGACCATATTTCGTTCCCTATACTATTCCTTATAAAGTGTTCAAATTTTCAACGATTCCTCTCGTAACTGAACACCGAGTCACACAACGAATTAATCTTTGGCTTTTTCTCGAGACGTGAGCGTGAGCTGCCTGTGATGGCATTAGTCGAACCTAGACCACGTGCGTCGGAAACAATAATGAATTATAGCAGCGAATTCGTCACTGAAGAGGCTGTTTCTTGGCTACAGTCGCATGGAATGAGACTTAAGAAAGGAAAGGTAGGCAAAAGAAATTTCTTAACAACGTATTTTACTGCAACTTTACATTCACAAACTTGACCGCTCCATTGATCTTTGTTCGTATCTTATCTTGCAGAAAAAGACGGTTGCGATGGCCAAGATCTCCTTGCCATCGCCCAAGATGCAGACGTACCAAGGCACTACATCCCTATTATAAAAGAGTGTCTAAAGCTCAAGAAATTGATTGCAATGAACGTTGAACCTAGAGATGACACGAGTTCTTCGTCGGTACGATAATTAATTTTCCCACCAGAAAATTTGACGCATGAATGGTTCGCCTCTTCTCCCGAGTCCTGTTGAGTCTCAGCGGTTTCGCAACTAAAGTCACGTGATCAAAATTTGGCGCCGAGAGATAGAGACGGTTACAGTTCGAACACTGCATTTACACAAGATGGATTTAACTTATTTCAAGATTCTCTGATTTTAGGATCTCTCACTCTGAATTCTTAATCTTTTTCTTGAAAAGATGAACTGATATTTTTATGTCTATGTCTCTGTTTGCATCCACTTAAGCTGATTTTTTGGCTCTCACTCTTTCAGCGTGCAGAATCAAGTCCTTCGGGTAAGACGGTTCAAACGTCGATTGATGATTCAGATAACATCAGCGATTATAAAAATTTAGAGGTGACATTGGCACCGAAAGAAAAGGGTAAATCGCCCAAGGATCTCTGTTTTACGGCCGAGGCGACAGAACTGAGCACTGTCTAAGTAAGTTCTTGTATATTAAACTTAGCAGGATGGTGAAGAGTACATTATCGATTACTTTCTTTCGATTATATCCTAAAGGAAAACACACAAGGTGCCAGTTGGTCAGTTAAAGATGACAAATCTCGGGGATTGCACCTACAAAAATGGCGAGATTTGCTTTATTTTTATTGAAATATATTAGATATGTATTTACTTGCACCATGCATAAAACAAAGTAAACCCAATTTTTAAATCTGGTAAATTAAAAAATTAGTGAATTGATAGGATGTTATCAGACAGTTTAATTTTTTTGAAAACAAATATTTACCTACAGGTTCCTCCTGAATGGCTTTCAAAATTCCAACTACCATCGAGGGTAAGAAACTTTTCTTTGTTTTGTTTTTTAAGTCTACAAGGAATCCTTATTTATTCATGAATACTGAACTAAAACTGAAGTGCATAGAGGTATGATTTCTTTTCTTGATAAGTACATATACAGTTTGGTGAAAATACATCATTGATGATCACCATTATTGTGTTTTTACTTCTTATGCACAGTTTGCTTACAAATATTTTGCAACTTTGTAGTTGCAAAAATTTACTGTTCTCCAACAACAAATTAATTTGCTCATTTGTTTGTTTTTTTGTACAGTTCTCTGCCTCAGTAGAGTTGGATACCCAGAAGGGATATCTCATCAGCAGCCTAAAGTACTCTGAGCAACAGTGGATTGCAAAAAAAAAATTATTGCAGAGTATCCTTGTATGGTTAGCAGGATACTAGACTAAGTTGACTTGGAAACTGAATGGATTGGTATGGTCTAAAAATCTATTGCTTCACCTCTTCTGCTTGCAGTGAAGAGAGACAATTTTGTGGTGCTGAATCTCTTGCCTTAAACTAAAAAGTTGCAAAATAATCACTCACACCTTTTAAATTCATGACCTTTGTTCTTGTGTGTTTGTCATCACATGTATTTAAAGAAGTTGTGACCATTTTGGAGGTACAAGTCCAAAAAACTGCTACTTTGGTACTAAGATGAACTGCTAAAATTTCTGAGCCCATTAATTTTGCCAATGAAGTCCAGATACAGAGGTTCAAGTACTTTGGGGTTGTATTAATTTTGCCTTTTTGTTTATTTTTTTTGATTTTGCAATTTTTCAAAATAT